ATAAAAAACGGAGTTTCCTCCTATTTGTATATATCTATTATTCCAAATGTGTTGATTATATATATCATTTGGTTCATCACTATTACTTTCTGATATCTCTGACCACGTTATTAGTACACTCTTGTATATACCATGAAGCACGGAACAAACGTAGAGCAATTTAGGCAGCGCGAGTGACCTCAAAACTTGGATTTTACCATAAAGTGTTAGGTTTCTTGTCTTCCATAACGATAAAATTTTCTGAAAATTAGTGAATATCCGTTTAAAATTTTGTTCATATCTGCACTTATCATTATACGAGAAGTATATACCCAGTATTTTTATCCCTTCTTGATAAAAGTTTTTCCATTGGAAATCTTCATTCCATTCTTGTGGTTGGTCCCGATTTACTCTTCCTAACCATCCGACTTCTGATTTGCTTACGTTTATTTTTAAAGATGAGAAGTTATGATATTGTTCTAGTAACTCCAACACGTTGTTGAACGAAGTTATGTCTCCTAAGAAAAAGGTGGTGTCATCTGCAAATAAAACCAACTTTTTTTCCTCTCCTTCGATATTCACTCCTTTTATTTCATTACAGCTCCGAATCATAATTGCCATGATTTCTATAGTCAGTATGAAGATGTAAGGGGAAATGGGATCTCCTTGTTTCGTTCCTCGGTGGATATCAAAAAATTCAGTTGCCACGCCGTTATTAATGATGCAGCTTTGATTGTCATGCAAAAGAATTTTTATCCATTTAATAAAATCTTCATCAAAACCAAATTTATGTAATACTGCAAAGATAAAATTATGTTCAATTGAATCGAATGCCTTTTCAAAATCCGCTGCGAAAAGCAACGCGTATTCATCTTTTTGTTTTAGATAGTCCATAATATCTTGGATTATCCTAACGGGTTCCTCAATATTCCTTCCTTTAACAAAAGCAGATTGGTCATAGCTTACTAAATAGGGTAAGACTTTAGCCATTCTATTACTTAGAACTCTACTACATATTTTAAYGTCTACRTTTATAAGACTAATAGGGCGCCAAGCGTCCAGGTTTCTAATATCTTTGCCAGGTTTTTCTAATAGTGTAATTAAAATTTGCTTTTGTGATGTTGACAAGGAGCCCACTTCAAAGTTATAATTTAAAGACTTTACCAAATCTTCCTTCAAATCTTCCCACATATACATATATAGTTCCTTAGTTAAGCCATCATTACCCGGTGTCTTAGACCGGCCCATTTGTTTCAGGGCCTCAAAACATTCTTCATTCGTCATCAATTTTCCACATTATTCCTTATCCGCTTCAGAAACAGATGGAGTTTGAAGTTGCGATAAAAAATCCTGACAATCGTTTATTGTTTTATCTGATTTAGATTTATAGATCGAGTGGAAAAATGTCTTTATTCTTCGGAGTATTTCCTTCGGATCTGTAATTTCAGTTTCATCTTCTTTTAATAGTTTTCTAACGTGTGTTTTAGTTTTATTTCGCTTTTCCAAATWTAAAAAATATTTCGTATTTTTTTCACCTTGTTCACACCATTTGGCTTTGGACCTAATGATGATACCATCAGTAATATAATCGCTTTCCACCTCTAACTCTTTTAGTAGTTTGTCATGTCGAAAGTTGTTATCGTGAGTTTGATGGACGGAAGGCAAGACTCTTGTTTAGGGCTGGCGCCAAATTTGTCGAGGTCGAAACCGAATAGATAATTGACAGTCGTATATAAAAAGTTAGAGTAATTTTTCAAATTCTGTAATTTTCGTTGTTTAAAAAATCATCCCATAATTCAAGAAAACTTTTCTAACTTGAAACATCTCGATCTCAATCGGATCTGTAAATTAGTCTTGCCTTGACTTTGAATATCCCAGATGTTGTTTCATGCGGGTCCGATCTGTTACTTAGCCTACCTTAAAAAAATCGTATGTACGCAATCAGAATTTTTTTTCTGCAAACGACTTTTCACAAACTCGTTTTAGCCTTCAGTTACGGTTTTCCATATTGTGCGAACTCGGTGGTTGCGAGCTGCACGCTGAAACTGTTTTTTTTTTTTTTTTTGGCTGCCGTTAATCAAAAATAAGCAGTCGATACCTTTCATATTTTGACTGGTCTTGGTTGCAGTGAAAAGACAATTTCTCGACGAATCGTTTACACTTATTTTCAAAATTACGTGACCGACCTACACGGTTCCATATTTGTCTGGATGCTGAGTTTTGGCTTCCGTCAATCAAAGTTACCAGAAGGGCCGAGTTCAAAAAAGTCCCGCCAACTCGAAAGCCATTTCAAGTTGCTATAACATCATGGCTCGCTTGAATACTGATTATCTAGAAGACTTAAAAGTCAATAGTTATTCCTGATTGAGAATAAATGCAACAAATCTATAACCTTGAAGATCAGGTATGAAAACAAACTCAAACATATTTATTGATTGGCATTTTCTTAAACTTTATAATATTTCGATTAACATAAGTTTACGATTGGAATTACAGTTTGACCATTTCAAGCGTGTGAATGGTTGTTTCTAACTGGTTGAGCGGTAATTTATTTTAACTTAGTCCGTGCTATAAACTTTGATTGACGGAAGCCAAAACTCCAAACGTCTGAATTCGTCTAGGTCGCGTTATTTTGAAAATGGGTGTAAATGTGTGAGTTCATAGAATATGGAAAACCATAGTATAACAGTCTGCTACTTTCATCTCCACTATCACTCTCAGTGGTCCTTGATTTGAAATGCTTTTGACAGTGACCACCATTTTGCCTTGGGGCATTTAAAAATTTTAAAATGTTAATTTCTTTGAAAATCACATCCTTGATAATTTGAAAAAAATGTCTGTTAACGATTTATATATTGTTGGAGTTGTTTAAATTATTAATGCTTGGCAAATCAGAAACTCAGTGTTTTAGAAGCGTTAACATCAGAAAAAATATGTTAGATTTGGTCAGCTACGATTTCAAGCTCACGCCCCCTCATGTGAGCCCATACAAATTATGTCTCAAAAACACGGTTTTTGGATCTTTTCTCAAAATAATGACCATCTAGGAAAAAAACAGAAGTGGATTCAGTTATTTCAGCTATTCACGGACTGTATTATATGGTTTAGATTGAATTCTATTGAAAAAAAACCAGCGTACTTTTTGAGTTGAATGTACGCTATTGGACGTATTTTACAAGAGAAAATGCATGACATAACCGGGGTCAAGCTAGAAAATCGTCTTTCCTTGATATAAAACAAAACCTGTCAAAAAACAGAAGTAGATTTGAAAACCCCGGGCTTTCCTGAACATTTTGGTATATAATTCATAGGAATTTGTTAAAATTCAGAACCGTATTTTTGCTGATTTTATAAGCTCATACTATCTGTTGGCCTATACATTCGCCTCTTATGGCTTCTTAGGTTTCGTAGCCTCGAAAACACGCTAACTACTAGTTAGCGAAAGAACAGAAGATTTA